TCTCAGTTTAAGGATGAAGGCATGCACTACGCAAAAATAAGTGCAATTAAAAGTGTGCTCAGTGTTATAAAAAAAAACAAAAAGAACAGGTTAACATGTAAGTGAGTACTGGCATGGACAGCTCTTAGAAAATATAAATGCAAAGTTCTCAGAGGATGGGACATCGAAAAGGAGGCCTGAAAAATGAGAAGGTACTAGTTCTGCAAAGAATGAAGAGAAGAGACAGTCAGGTAGAATTACAGCTTGCATAACGGCCCCAAAGTGAGAAAAATATCTTGGAATGTTAGGGAAATAATGTTTTAGAAAATGGTAAGGCGAGGAGGGGTAGTGAACATGTAGCAGGCATGGTCTAACTATCTTTGAAGTACAACTCTAGGTTCTAGGCATCGTTTTGAAGGAGGGCATTGGAAAAAAGGAGTATGTCTATGAAAGTACAGAATAAATAGGATTAAGAAGATAGAGAAAATCATTCCAAGTGAGAAACAGAAGTAACTGCATGCTAGACATCAATAAGATATAGCCTGGGTGACCAAACAAAGATGGTAATTGGTACGGTCTTATTTTCTCCAAGAGGCTGACATGGGAAGAAAGATTTGATTTGTTCAAATAAATACAAGTGCCCAAGAGTACAGAGTTAAGAAGACCAAATTTGGCTTTATAGAAGGAAGAAAGTTCTAATAATTTTACCTGCTCCACAAAGGAATCAACTCTTTCCCTCCAGAGAATTGCAGTGATCAAGCTGAGGTTCTATAATGCCCTGCCAAGAACACCTTATTGGAGATTTCTTTGTAGGCTGCTGGTCTGCATTAGATGACACTGCAAAATTACCCAGTTCTAAAATGATATAATAGATCTATGATATAGCCATATCCAAAATAAATGGTTACAATATGGCTTGATTCACAAGAAAGACTGGCACTGAGGAGTCAGAACCAAGGACAGTGCTCTAACAGCCAACACTGCCTTTGTTCTCCATAAGAAAGCATCAATGGCTAAATGTGATATTACTAATCTGATCAAAATTCCCAGTAAAAGTGCCTGTCAACAATCCACACTTCAGGAAAATACCTGCAAGGTCTCTGAGCACCATGCCTCATGATGTACATCATACTTGGGCTCTCCATTGTGTTTACAGAGATGGATTAAAATACTTCCACATTTATGTAGATTACTGTAGAATTTACAGAATATCCTTATCCTCATCCCATTAATATTCAACACAGATCTTATGTCAACATTTAATGAGTGAAGAAATGCCTTTTTGTGACGTTTGGTATGCACTTGCTAGAGGTTTACTTAATTAATTGATCAATCATATGTAACTATTTTTAATAGCTTACTTAAAATCAGAGTTATTAGGGTTTTGTGTGTAGGTAGTCTGATTGCACAGGCTGGATATTTATCCAGTCTGATGAACTGAAAAAGAAACTCTATTTAATATCCAGAATAAATATACCTGGACCCTAAAATTTTCTTACCCCATTCTGATGAAACTTGCAGGTAGGGTTGGGAGCAATAAAATTGATTGACAGTAAGTTATTCAATCTGGCCAACGACTATCCTGCAACAAATGGCCATTTTTTGCTTTCCTTTAATTTGTTTTAATTTAATGTGACTTGGCCTCATCCTTTGTTTGGTTTTAATCTTCTAGTAATATGGAAATAGCTTGATCCAAGATATTTTTTCCTCTTTAAAGAGGGGAACAAAGAACCACTTAAAAGAATCAAACCTGGTACTTTTGTCTTCTGGCTTGCTTTATAGTTGCTGATTTTCATCACTTACAGTTTCATCACTTACAGTTTCCTTTGCTTCTCCCCATTTTCTTTGTAGATTGTTGTTTCCTGTTTTTTAAAGGTTAGATTGGAAATCTGCCTTTATGTTTAAAAAAATTTACTTTTCAAAAATTCTCAGTCTCAAAAACAAAGTAGTTGCTATTTGTTCCATCCTGTCTAAATTGGGGCAATTGGCAGATTTTTATTTACACTCATCAATCCTCCAACTCTTTCTCAGTTTCTGTTGACATAACAGCAGATTACAGACCTTGATTAGAATTGTTAATTCCTTACATGTTCTCTTTAATTACTTTTTTATATTAACCTTCTCTTTTGTAACATATTTATAGCAATTATTTAGCATTAACACTATGTTTAGTTAATTTCCAAGTTCAGTGTTGGTCTTTTCATTCTACATTTCTCTGTTCTTGATTTCTTTATTTTGATTCATTGCTTGGTCAATTGCTCTTTGAATGATTTATTAGAGGCAGAGCATGCGGGAGCCCCTGGATAACGAGAATGTCTTTCTGATGTATTTACACAAGAACAACAACTGGGCTGATAAAGAATTTGTGGGTTATAACATTTTCTCCTCAAAAAATCCTCCAGGCTTAACTGCATTGTCTGCTGCCCTTTATGAGATGGAGAAATCTGAGAGGGGCCGGCAGAGATTTGTTAGACTGAGAATGGCTTTTCTGCTCCTATGACTCTTTAACTTAACTCTTTTCAGTATAACTTAATACGAAATACAGTAATTTGAAATAGTGTGTAGTTTTTTCCTTGTCAGAAAAATACAACATGCTGAGCATCCGGCTCCCACAGCTCTTCCTCTGCTCCTTTTTGTCTCTGTTTCCTCCTGTTCCTCTGTCCCTCTATGTTTCCCTCAAGACACCTGGCATAAGCACCCATCCAATTCCTTTCCTGCAAATCTTAGTTCCAAAATGGGAGCACACATGGTGCGGGATGGAAGGCATAAGTAATTAAATGGCCTTGTTCATCCGGAAGCAGTAGTAGAAACTACTTCCTGGATGAGGTAGCTTCAGAGTGGGGTGACTTCTTTCCCAATGGCAAGCCTCCTTCCTTGAGGAAGTAGTTTACTGTGTGAAGTTTGTAAAGCCAAACCTCCCACAGTTCTCTTGCCTCACCTGCTTGTTCCACTCAAGGCCAACCACACTTGGGTTGGGGAATTCCTCCTGGGGTCCATTTGTCTCTATAGACTCGGTCTCCAGCTGGGTTTCTATTAGAGTCATGGTAGGAATGTGATATAGAGTGAACTGAGTATAGCTGCTACTCTTCTTCACAGCATGGAAACCCAAACAGCACCTCTTGACATGTCGCCAAGAGCAGAGAAAGCCACACCTTCTCAGAATTGTGTTCGACCAACAAACTGGCCAGTCTGGGATGCAGAGAAACAGAGACAAGATGGGCCCCCAGATGCTTTCTGCCCATCTTTATGTCTTCTTCCTCAATACATCAGAGTGTTTCATGCAGAGGAAATACCAGATGGACAGATGGAAGGCAGTCTGGCAGCTTCTCTTTGTAGTTTTAGACTCTGAGGAATGTTGCTTGGGCAAGTAATAAATGCAGACCTGAAATACCAGTGTGGAATTTAAATGGGTATGTGGACATTTAAAATGTTAATTAGTTCCTCAATCCAGGTTTCTCATAAGGTAATGACTGCCACTGACAGACTAAACTCTATCTCGGCCACCAGAGCCTACAGAGGCTATTCAGCACACACTTCACCAAATCTTGCTTTTGTTTCGGCTTTCCTTTCTCCAGTGAGTTTCTCACTTCTCCAGATATACCATGGAACATGGCACACATCAGACTCCCTTATGTTAAGAAAAAGTCTTGCAGGGGAGGGGAGGGTTGCGCATACTATGTAACCTTAATATGAACTATAGGGCTTAGCTTATGTCAGTGTTTGTTGTATATTTGTTGAGTGAAATATGGCAACCTGAGATATATGCACAAAAGCAAAATGGGAAATACTTGTGTCATAAGAGGAACTAAAGATACTTAGTTTGCAGAAAATAAGACCAGATGGGTGTATCTGAACAGAGGGGAAGTGGATGGTAGGAAAGATCTTATGTAACTGAAAGAATACCACCTAAGAAGGTGATTGCATTGGTTCTCTTGGGACCTAAGGGTATGGACCAAGAGCACTGGGTAGAACCTATAATAAGAAACATATTTTGGGGCACCTAGGTGGCTCAGTCGGTTAAGCGTCCGACTTCAGCTCATGTCATGATCTCACAGTCTGTGAGTTCGAGCCCCGTGTTGGGCTCTGTGCTGACAGCTCAGAGCCTGGAGCCTGCTTCAGATTCTGTCTCCCTCTCTCCCTGCCCCTCCCCCACTCATGCTCTGTCTCTGTCTCAAAAATAAATAAAAACATTAAAAACATGAAAAAAATAAACATATTTCAGGCAGTACAATAGAAGGCTTTCTTAGAGCCACGGACACCCCAAAGATCGGTAAAATTACCACATAAAGAAGTAAGTTCTCGGTCATTAGAGATATTCAAGAATAAGCACTAATACCAGTTAACTGTGATGTTGTAATGTTGATTGTTTTATGTGTAGGGGGAGAGAGGTAGATATTTGGTGACCTTTCCCATCCTTTTCAGCCCCGTGATTTTGTGATGTTATGACTGGTATCCCATCTTGACCAAAGAAATATCTGACACTAAAAAAGTTTCCCTTGTCTTTGGGAGAAGAGAATATTTTCTACTGTGAAAATTTTCTATTGCTAATAATAAAAGAGTTAGTATTCACTGATTAACTACAACATGCTTAGTGCATTCATAAATAACAGATAGGTATTTTATGGATGAGGAAATTAATCCTTAGATGGGCATGCAATATTCCCAAAGGTGATTTGAAAGACCTTTTTTATCTTTTAATATTGAGGTCTGCATATTTTTTCTGTAAAGGGTCATACAGTAAATATTTTAGGCTTTATGTGGCATAAAGTCTCTGTCTAAACTACTCAACTGTATTGGTGTAGCATCAAAAGCAGCCTTAGACCAAGTAAATGAAAAGGCATTGCTGTACTTAAAAAAAAAAGTGTGCGTGTGTGTGTGTGTGTGTGTGTATCAGTCATGGGGCTGGATTTGGTCCACAAGCCTTAGTTTGGCAACCTCTGCTCTAAAGCCATGCTACTTCTCATTTGAGAATAGGAAAATACAAACAAGGCAAGAAATGGCCTTCATGTGGCCATACTTACTCCATTGGCTTTGCTGAGTGCCTGGAAATAGATGCTGTAGCTTTTCAGAGGGGAAAGAGGAGGGTTCCAGTATCCATTGTATGTCTTGTTGTCACCCACTGTAAATGGCTGGGTAACAGGCAGGTTGGCAGGCTTCAATTCAGCAGCAAAGTAGTGTAGAGAATCAAGGCTGGAGGCATTCCTATAGCTCACAGGCACCGAAAAGCACTCAATGATATCAGCTGCCCTCCGTGATTTTTGAAGTCGCTCCTCCTTGACAACCAGCTGATAAACACTGAACAGGAAAGAGAAGCAGATGAGCAATGATCTGGAGGGATGCACTTGTTATTTATTATCATTTCTGTCTACAACTGAACCTCCCTCCTGAGTTTTAGAATTATAAACCCACTGCTGTGTAGAAATAGATCTCCATTTAGATGTCCCAAGGCCAGCTCACACTGGATATATCCAAAATGTAACTTGGTCCCAACCCCTACAAACCTGCCTCTTCCTCCTTCTACCTTTCTTTCCTTAGTGAAGGGTAGCATTGGCCATCAAGTGACCAGATATTGAGTCTGGGGCTCATTTTCAATTCCTACCTCCTTAGATCTCACTCTGCCCCTATAAAAAAAAAAAGCCCAGTTGACATCAGCAATCTGCATCTACCCCACCTCTTTTTCTTCCTTCATGATAATGCTTAGGTTGGGCACTTCCCTACCTCTTCCCGGATTCAACTGGTCTCTTTACCTCTAACTTACCTGATAAACTAGTCAACTCATTGATCTTCCTAAACATATAAACACAGTCTCTCTTCATACTCTTTCATTAGCTGTTATCCTAATGATATAATCTGAACTCCTCATCCTGGCACTGGGGACACTTGTGCCTGGCTTCCAGTCTGTCTTTCGGAAACTCTTAGTTTGGACCCCTCATTCCAGTGGATCCAGACAAACATCCTTGGGATTTCACTCCATCAGTTCATGCTTCCTCCACATGCAATGTCTTCTATCCACTTCTGTCTGGGGAAGACTTTCCCTAAAGGCTGAGTCTATCTTTCATATCCTCAATGAAGCCTGTCTAGACCCTCTCACTCTGAATGAGTTTCCCCCCACCTTAGTTCCCCTACAACTCACTAATGGATATCTTCTTGGGATTGTAAGAATATGAGCACAGGACTGTTTCTCTGGTTAGACTGTTACCTTTTTGGACAGTGGGAGTTGTGGCTTAGTTATTTCTGCATCATTTATCCCAACCCCACATTGCCCACTAGGTTGCCTGATACCCATAAAGTCATCACTGAATGCTTGTTCAAGTAAACCAAATTAAATTGAGTTAAAATTGAAAGTAGGCATGAAACTAAATATGACTGGATACAGAATCCCTAATCAAAATAAACAGTGAATACTCTGAGCTCCTGTCTAGTGATCGTGTACCATTCCCTTCAACTTGGAAGGAAGTAAGAAGGTACCAGTCTGTGAAGAGAGATGACTGAGCCTTGAACACCAGCTGTAGGCCAAATATGTAGGCTCCTTTTATAAAAGTTATCCTAAACGTTGGTGGATCTGGATGGCATTTTATTATCTCTTTGAATGTCCACAGTTTGTATCTCTCTGTAAATACTTTTCTTTTAGAAGATCTTTCTTGCAGAGCTCTCTGGACTCATGACCTAAGACAAAAGATCAATTAATTGCCCAAAGAGTGCCCCCAGGAAATTTTTGTGAATTAAAGGTGACTTCAGCAGTCACCCAAACCAATCTTCTAAAGATGGCATAGTGAGATAGCATATGTTTATGAAAATGGAGCATGGTGAGTGCTACCATCCTTTAATCAAGCCGTCCATCTAAATACACTTGGTTAAGAAACATAACTTGGACAAAGACAGAGGCAGAGGACTATTTCACTAAAATAAAAGGGTATAGAGGGACTAACCCAAGGAAACATGATACAATATGGCAGGGCTTCTCCTGAATCTCCTTGAGCATGAGGATCGTCAACAATGCAGATGGAAAAAAAATACACCATGTGAATGTTTGCCACACTTGGAAGAGAGTGATACCTTGAGTGGAGGAGAGCAATAGCTCAGTGAGCATGTGTACTCTCTGATGGGCACAACTGGATGAGAACTCAGCAGCCCAGAGTGCAGGTGAGTGTCATGTGAGTGGATACGGCCACTTCTCTGGGAGGGCAGACTACATCTGAGTGTGAATAATGTCCAAATGAGCACCTGTAGGACCTGGGTGTCTAAAAACCGAGAGCACACATATACTCTTTGAATGAGTGTGACATTCAGATGAATGTGGGTGGACACCTAAATGTGTATGACACGTGAGTGCGTCTAACATCCCAAAGTATATGTGTGTGTGACATCTATATGTGTTCATAAAACTGAAGTCTGTGGTGCCTGGGTGGCTCAGTCAGTTAAGCCTCCGAATCTTGATTTCAGCTCAGGTCATGATCTCTCAGTTTGTGAGTTCGAGCCCCACATCTGCACTGACAGTGAAGAGTCTGCTTGGGATTCTCTGTCTCCTTCTCTCTCTGACCCTCTCTTGCTTGTGCTCCCCTCTCTCAAAATAGATAGATAAATAAATAAATAACACTAAAAGTATGTATTAAAAAAATTGAAGCCAATAAATGCCTAAATTAAATCATGACTTCAGGGCACATTCCCTCCTCAACTCTGGGGTCCTTCTCAACAGTATAACCACTATGTTTATCAAGACAGCTAAGCTCAAAACAGTCTCTGAAAGACATCACCAAGACCCAAGACCCAAACCTAGAGGAGGGGTGTCTATAACAGTTTTCAGGACCTCCATTGCTTTACATATAACAGCAGTCTCAAGTAAAACTCTGAATCTTGCCAGAGTGCTCAGGACTGCTTGTTGAGGGTCTGACTCATGCAACTCTAATCTATGAGGAAAAGGGCAAAAGGCAATGAAGAGTGAAGGAGCAACAGTCTCTTGGGTCCATGTGTGGAGGCTTGCAGTAGGATCTAAAAGACTGAACTGGGCTTGGAGGCACTCAGCCTATCCAGCCTGCATGCCCTCCTGACTGGGTTGGGAGGCACTAACAGGCCCCACCTCTAGGAATGGGGTTTGCAAAGACCTGTGAGTCCCTGCTTTCCTCTGATGTCCAATCTATCCCTTACTATTCTTGGGTTAATCCTGTCCACATGAGAAGACCTCTGTCCTTGTTTCTAAGTTGAAAACTCTTGTGCCACCCCTGAGTCCTTTTGTTACCCTCTCCCTCTAAATTGAGAATCCAAAGCCTTGGAACTTCATTGGGGCCGGATCCCACTCCCGGACTCGCTTTCTGTTGTACTTGGCCCTACTATGATGGGATGGATCACGCAGAGCCGCCAGGCTGGCCTGAGTACTGCACATGACTGGCATGAGATTCTGTGGTCATGGACAGCTAAGCAGTGGGTCTTCACTGGGCTCTGACGCGTGAATGCTGCCAAAGGCTACAGAGGGAGGCAAGGCATGTCTCCAGGGGCCAGCCCAGGATCCCGCCATCAATCTCACTACTGAGGACTCACTTGTCAATTCAACCAAACTCAGCAGCCAGATTATAGGTGAAGACACTGAGGCTGACAGGCTGAGTGCCCTGTGTCAAACTGTGGCAAAAGCAAAAAGCTAGACTTTCATTCACAGTTCAGTATCCTTTTCTTTCTCCATCTCCCTTCTTTTTCCATAAGCCAACAACACGTGACAAAGGACCTTCAGAGTAGTTTTTACTTGGCAGACTGAACTCCTTAGCTCTATCGGCTTCTTCTGAAATCATAAAGCCTGGCAAAGGATATCTGGGGAGGGGCGGGGTGGTGGTGGTTAAACCGTGTTGTCAACATACAGTTCACATACAATTGGGATTAATGTGCCTGAGTGCAGCCAGCAACACCCTCAGGCCTACTGTGCCTGCAGCTTCTCCATTCAGAGGCAAATGTGCAACCATGGCCAGGAAGCCATAAACCATTTGGTAGTAAAAATCTTTTTTCCAGGGGACCCAGCCCCTCTTAAAGATCAGGGGACTCTGGTTAAGGAGGGGAATGGCACATGTAAGCTGTGTGAGTGTCCTTTCCTTGATACGCACACTTTAGGAAGCAGGGGTGGGGTGGGGGGACAAGACAGTTTCTTTTTGTTTCTTGGGATAACTTCATTCTTATTGTCCTTCTCTTAGGAACATAATTATCTAAGCTCTTTATGGCTTGTTGGTAATGATAAAATTATACCTAAATGAGAAGAACTCCTCCAAAGTCGTATCTCTAGTGCAAAAGAAGTGATTAAAACATATTCCGGAGCATTTGTAAACAGAAAGGATTTTTTTTTAGTAGAAAAATCCTGATAGTATTAGAGAAGAATAACAAGATGCTCACCTCACCACATACAGCATTTACCCCCACATTTCCCCATCCTGTGACATCCCCTCTATTTCTTCCAGTGAGAAGATGGACATTTGAGGTCCCAAAACCTTAGTTCATAGAGGACAAGTGCTTCAGAAACCTTGAAGAGTAAGAGGTGTGGGAATTCCTCTGCAGGTATTAGAGGAGGACCCTGCCACCGGGGCCTCATGGCCCCTCTGATTCTTGAGTTGACAGTCTGGGTGATAACTCATGCTCCTCTATGAAGGACCAGGGGCCTATCAGAGTCATCCATCAATCACTAACACATCCTATGGCCCCCTTGTTATATCTGGGGAAGAGATCTCCAGCAAGGTGCTATTACCCATTCAGAATACTTAAGTCAGGTGACAGACAGACAGGATGCTGTAGTTCACAGGTGAAGACTGCCCAGAATCAGAAAAGGGGACATTTAACACCCATGTTCTCCCATAAATAGGCTTCATAAATTTATATGATCAGTTCATACTGACACTGCCAATTCAAATCCATTAACACAAGACTCTTCCTCACCTTCCCCATCGTGAATTTGTTTCCTACAGTGAAAACCCTGGTTTTTAATATCACTATTTTTTACTCGTTTACTCTCTCACACAATACACACAAAAGCATTTCAGAATTAACTCATCAACACCAAAACCAGCCTCAAGACTTAAAAAGTAAAATTCAAGGTTTCTCTACTGCCCTGTTCCAGCTCCTTCCCGAACAATTCAGTCTTAAAGCCATTAGGCAGGGCAGAGCAAGGCAGGCAACCTTATGCGATGGGGAAAGCCGTGGTGGCCCTGTGTGGGGAGCAGAAACCACTTAGTGTCCC